TGGGCAGGAGGCCAGTCCCGGCCCTCGGGCCCCCACTGGGGTGTCTTCTTCGCTGGGGAGCGCACGGGCCCGAACCTTAGCCGGCGAAAACCAGCCGGGTTCGAGCCCCACGGGGTGCGGGTCCTGCCGCCCGGGTCCCGCCGCGCCCCGCCCGCCGCCGCCTGCGAGCAGAGATAATCCCGCCGCGCCGCCACAGAGCAGGCCCTAAACCCACATCCATCACCGCAGCAGCCAGCCATGCGGTCGGAATTAGCCAGTCACTGCGGCCTTAATTACTTTGTCAAAGATGAAAAATAGTAATTGATTTTGCCCTCGATCACTTTCTGCCCCCCACTCCCCGCCACTGCTGATAAGCAAATAAATCGCTATCTTTTGAGAGCCCGTGTCCACCCGGCAGGCAGTATGAGGAGTGGCCTGCTGGAAAAGAGGCTGTCCGGTGGCCGCCCGGGCGCCAGAGTGTGCAGAGACCGGGGAGGAGGGTGGAGGATACCGAGCCCAGGGTGGCCATCCGGCCTGCAGACCCAGCACCGAGGAAGCAGCTGGCAAGGGGAAGGCAGCTTCTGCCCGCCCGGGCCGTGCCGGCTGAAGGTTAACAGCTGCCAGGCCCAGGGCCACAGAAAGGCTCAGAAACTGGCCCGGAGACAGCCTGGAGGGCCACGAGTTGAGGCCAGTGCTGTGCTGCGGGCTCGCGTGCACCCCACCACACAGGAGACAGTGTGAGCGCCCGTGCAGGTGTTCAGGTGGAGTCAGAGGGGGACTGAAAACATCAAAAACGTGTAGGTGAATGCGGGTTTCAGGTGACATTGCCAACAGTCAAGACACCACGCAGTACTTTTGTCCAGCTTGCCTGCGACGCCCCGTTTCAATGCGGTCCGTTCTGTGCTCCAGGTATAGGCACTGCGGGCACACTGCACCACTCCCTAGCTCTGTGACCTTGGAGGAAAGCCCCAGTGTATAAAACAAGGAGAATAAGAATAGCAGCCTATCCCAAGGGTAGTTTTAGGATTAAATGAGTTATAGGGGGAGGACTGGGGCCAGCTACTTTGCTTGGTATGCTTTCCATAAGCGATTACAGTTGTTATTATTATTATTATTATTTTGCAATGACATTTATAATTCTGTCCAAATGGATCTCTCCCCAGCCCATCAGATTTAACAAATAAAGCAGCTTTCTTTCTCCTGGGCTCAAAGTCTAGTACGGGTAGAGTCATAACAGAATAGAAAGCCTTACAAAGTAGATAATCTAGTACAACACTTTGCCTCTTCATTAATGGGCTGATCACTCAATAATAAAGTATTTACCATATATACGCGTGAATAAGCCGAATTTTCCAACACATTTTAATGCTGGTTTGGTAGTAAAATTAGGTGCCTTGGCTGATATACAGGTTGGTTTATACTCGAGTATATAGATACCTTGATTCCAAGAACATTAAGGGGCATCCTGCAAAAGAGCTCCCACCCAGAGACTGCTAGGAGGGTGGTCTCAGGCACCCTTTGCTCAGATCAGAGCAAATATCACTATGAACCACAAAGGCTTGGAACCTTGTAAGCAGTCTCACTCTCCAGTTCTCCTCTGGACTGGGGTGCCAGGGAGACACAAACTAGGTTCCTTGCCGTAACATCCCCCAATACCCCACACTCAGCAGTTGGTGGCTCAGCTCAGTAACTGGTCTGTGTGCAAAATGTAGGTCCAACATCTCCATATGGAGACCGGGCGGACGCGTGTTTCTGAGTCAGCAGTGGGGATGATTCTCACTTCATTGCAGCAAAAACCCCAGGCAGTGGGCACCAGTGCATAAACAGGGAATTTGAGAACAAGCTGAAAGGGACGTCCAAGGTCATCTGTAGTCCCATACTCTCCTTTATCAGTGAGAAAAGGGAAAGCCAGGGAGGAAAGGTGAGAGCCCAAGGTCACTTGGCAAATTCTATATAAGCAGTCCAGCAGCGGCTCTTATTTAAATAAATAAGCCTCTTCTTAGATCCAGCAATGTTACTCTTAGGATATATATCCCTACCACCACTACACCCCCAATAATCGCAAGATTGCTTTTTATAGCATGCTAGATAAAGTGAAGGGTGGGTGAAGAGTGTGTCTACAGCATAGGATGATGTATAGCTATTAAAAAGTAAGAATTAGAAACAAAGAGTTCAC